AACTAGGTAAAAAAAAAAAAAAAAAGAAAGGGAAGGAAGGCGTACCCTTTCAGAAGAATAGAACAGAAAAAAAAATTCGACAAGAAAAATGTTAGCTTTCATATTGAATTAAAGTGCAGAAAGGCATCAAAGGCAAAAGAAAAAACAAGAGCGGCAACAATGATGACAGTTGCAAGATGAATACCAATACAGAATGTTAAACTGGTGCAAATAACCTGCTCAGTAATGCTCATGCAATAGTACAAAAATCTTTATAAAGTTATAAAACTTTTGACACGTACTTTCGCAGTGTGCTCTAAACGAATGGTATTGTTGCGGTTAAGATCACTGCAATCAAATATAATGTCTATGTACCTGACGGTGATTAAGAACGTTCTTTTTTTTTGCACCTGATTTTAGCAAATATACTTTGCTGTTTTCGATGGTGATGATGATGATAGTGAAAATGACTTCGGTAACAATACTGAGATGCTTCACGTCTCTTCGCGGAATGTCGTCAGTGAATGGTCAGACTACAACAGCACAGCAGTATACATCGACTTTAATCAGAACATTATCATTGCCATCAATAATGACTGTTTCACATACACACCTACACAAACAAATACACACTGAAACATAGTGGTAGACATGCCTTAATAATATATAAATATAAAAATAGAAAAAAAATTCAGAAAATATTCATCAGTTCAGAGTATACCGTTCTTCTTAAGTACCGCTCATATTGGCATTGACAGAAACACTCAAATAACCACAAAAATTTTGCTAGCTTCTGTTTTTTTTCTTCTCTACATCTGGTTAACAGTTGAGAATATTGTGCCTGGTTGCTTTATTGTTCTACAAACTAGTCAAGTTTTTTTTTTCCTTTTCTGTGTTTTTGAAATTAGTTCATTTTCATTTGAATTTCTTCAAATCATTCATCTTTTTGCTATTTACTTTGTTGAGCCTAATCTGTTATCATTATTATTTTCAGTTACTATTTTACTCTATTTGTAAAGATACATTATTTTTTCAGTTATTTCTTGTATATATTAGCAGGTATTTACGCTGATTTTTACGTATTGTATGCGTATGATTCTGAAGGGTTTGTTGTATGTTAATTGTTAAGTAGCATCAAAAAACAGGCAGAAAAAGAAACATTTGTTTTTTTTTTCTGTTTTACGTATCCATCGACTATTCAATTATGATGCTGTAAGCATTTATCACTTTCATTTCTTCATTAGTTTTCTTTTCCTTAACGGACCTCTGTTTTTCCACTTTTTTTTCTGCTTGAAAAGCGAAAGATGGGAAAGAAAGCAGAATTCAAAAAGAAGAAGAAAAGAAGAAAAGTCGAAGAAGGGAAGAAAAAGATACATTTTGTAGTTTATTTATTTGTTTATTTTTAATTCTGCTACTTTTCCTTTAAAGGGAAATGGGGGGAGAAAGGGGGGAGGAGGTGGGGTGACATCAGTAATATGTGCTTCGTTTTTTCTTCTTCTTTTTGCTTTACTGTGGCTTTTCAATTGTTTTCGGTTTGATTCAGTTTTGTTC